GCGTCACAAACAGTGGCGCCATATTGCTGGGTCAACAAATTAACAGGGTTTTAATCTCACACTCTACTGTGTGCATTTGCAAACAGTACACTTGATGCTGGGACCTTACATATGAGCGTGTGTATCATTAAGCTCATAGCTTTTGAAGCGTCACACATTATTGTGTACACGACCAAACATCAAGCATGACTTTGCTTTGAAACGTCGCACACTGTTTATTGTGTATATCGTGAAACATGTAATTGTAAATATATAACTTTGTTTGAAAGAATACCACATATAATGTCGTGTATAATTAAACAATTAAGTGAGCTTTAAGCATTTCATATTTGTTCTATTTATATACCAAATACTTTAGGATGTACTCCTCTGAAAACTGAAATAAATGCGTACTAAACTTGTGTGTTCTCATACATGCATTAATACAGCACAATTGATAAATATAGTATTGTCTTCTTAATTATTGAAGTAAAACTTCTTCAACTTATTCTTTTATCTCAGAGAATCGATTTAAACTTCCCTTATCCCTTATTTTTAAATAGAAAAGTCCTAATTTTCCCACAATTACATGTACATACACGTGAAATCTTTCAGATACACTTTGACAGCTTTTACGTATTGCAAATTGTCATCCTTTGTTTTGTTCTTTCATGACGATCATCATAATAGAGTCTTGATAATTAAGTTAAATCGACAGTTATCTAAATATTGCAAAAAGTATTTTTCTGCACATGCATGAATTATAAAGCAGTTTTTCTCCGATCATGGACATTTCGTTAATATTTGAATTATGGTATATTGTAAACACACGGTTCATTATTTGAAAAATGTATACTGTAGCTTTAGCTGCAGAATACTTGAATATATTTTTGCGATACACACACAGGTTATATAGCATCTCAGTGTTCGGCTTCTATATGACCACTATCTACATAAACACCTGTTCGTGATATGGTTTGCTTTTGGAGGTGTTAAAAATGTTCATCTCCCGAAATTATATTGGAAATCGTATAATGGATCGCGATCACGTATCCACTTTCTTCCCATACAGGACATTCGAGACAGGTGGGTATCAATATAGCTGTATACATTATATCGTGGATACTCCAGAAATGTATATTTGTTTTTGCTAAAAGTCATGTTACTCCGCAGTTGCGTTCCTAGTTTTTCGCGTACTTACTGTAATGATTAGTGTCATGGAATCTAATTTTCGCGGATTTCTGGTATGACGCTCATCACACAGATTTTTACGGTATGAATTGATTGAATTATAGTAATTTTGCTGAAAATCGTAAAAAATTGAACCCTGCGACAAATACTCTTTACATTATCGACGCCTAATATATAACGAAAACTTAAGTAATACATGATCTCCCCATCCAATATCATATACTCAATCTTAAGAAAAAACGAACTTCTGTACTCATAAATTTAAAAACACAATATCAAGGAGCCATAATACTGTATCTAACCAAAACTGTCACTAAACAGACAACAAAAAATAAAGATATGTTTTTAAACGAAACTTGATGCAGTATTTTACAAAGACTGGCCGTTATCAGCAATTGAACGATACAAGAAATTACACAATCCAGGTTAGCCATTTATCACAGTAAAAAAAAAACGTAAAAGAAAGCTGAGACTGACAAACGGTCCAACGTTTAAGGTTTATCGTCCTGCAGTGACGGAAATGTAGATAGATAGGTTACCGTCATGACCAACGCCATTAAAACCGTAACACCAGGTCACGTTACGTCACCACTTCAGATACGTCTTCATTAAACACGATCGGAGTTATATTATTTATTATTGTTGTCCGATATTGAACATATTGTACAGATGATATATGTTTTATATATCGGTCAATTGAAGAACACGCCCATAAAATCCATAACTATACGTCAGACAATACGTATTACTCATCATTTTCAATAAGTGATTTCTGTTTGTTTTAAGGCTAAGAGTATTTCAATGTTGAAGAATTCAGTTACATCACAGGTTATGCAGTTGTTCGACATGTCACTTCGCAATATGTAGGAAGGCGCCGTACATCATTGTACCACACACGTGTATTTCTTAGACTACTGTAATGTCCATTAAGCAGGATACATTTGTTTGACATTTTGTGGCATTTGCATTGCATCTTTGGATCAAAATAAAACTACGCCTTATCATTAATGCATACAGTATATTGACCTATTTTAAACACGATAAATAGTCAGTTCGCTTACCAAATATTTTGTACCATTTTTCAATACAAAGAATTTCAAAGAAACACATTGTTGGAGAACTGAATTGATTTCACCTGGTTCCATGACGTCAAATTTGTCTATAATATACTGACGGAATACGTTTTACTTTAGTTCAGTAACTATGCATTTTATAGTGTCAACGTACATATGTGACATCAAATGTCCACTTATTTATATGTAAAAAGGAAGATAGTACTTAACAAATACTTGTCAAAGAAATTATCATGTGAACAACCCCTACTTACAAGATAATTATCTAAGCAAAATTATTGTTGTATGTATATGGACGCAATTAAAAATAAAATTGTCGTCCTCTTTTGGAAAACATGCCAACAATTTCAAAGTAGGCAACTGACTGGTTAAGTAGGCATCTTTCAAAACGCACGTCGATAAACGTTACACGTAAGTCGTTAATTGCTGTCAGAGTTATGTCACTTAAGAATATTAAACGATACCTTCTAACCATACAATTAACCTACCTGTAAGGAATACCTGTTGATGTATGTATACCTCCAAGGTAATTGGTTGGCTGGATGATAACCTTGGTGGTGACTTGTCCGTAGGGATATTAACTCCAAGACAACACATTGCCCTGTCTAAGTATGTCATTGACAGCATTTATCGACCGTTAATACAACAACAAGAAAAATTGGTACCTGAGAGATAAAAATTAGAACATTTATCCCGTATACCTATGCGTCTCATTTGTAGAGAATTTTGTATTTCGTGTGGTTATGACAATTAGGAACGATTTAGTGTGTAACGGGAAATAACAGGAAAGCTCTCTTATATTCATAACGGATATAATTAGACATTAAATACTTCTATGCGTTGTTATCGAATACCAATGGACGTTTTACACTGCTATACGTTGTGATCGAACATCGATGGATGCTTTTCACTGTTATGTGTTGTTATTAAACATCAATCGATGTGTTGTAATCTGACGCCGATGGACGTTTAACACTGCTATGCGTTTTTATCGAACATCAATGGAAGTTTTACACTTTTCACTGATATGTGTTGTTAAAGAACATCAATCGATGTGTTACACTGCTATGCGTTGCTATCAAACATCAATGGATGTTTAACACTGCTATGTGTTGTTATCGAACGTCTATGGACTTTTAACACTTATGCGTTGCTATCAAACATCAATCGATGTTTTACACTGCTATGTGATGTTATCGAACAGCAATGGACGTTTAACACTGGTATGTGTTAGTGTTGGACGTTGATGGGCGTTTTACACTGTTATACGTTGTTATCAAACATCAATGGATGTTTTACACTGATATGTGTTGTAATCGGAAGTCGATGGATGTTTAAAACTGCTGTACTTTGTCATCGAACGTAGTTAAGTAAATTATATTGAGATATTATGCAGTGCAAGTGTTTGTTTTACTTTCTACATCGACTCATTAATGTTATAAACATGTGTAGGTATACTGTATACTAGGAAATTTTCGCCCAAACAGATTTTGCCCTTTGTCGGTTAAATACATATTCGCCTTCAGTAAGGATTTCGCGCTTCACATTTAATTATTATGTATTTCATGTTATTTATTAATGCTTGCTGTAATGATAGGTTTGCCCTCACTATACTAGTGGCCTCGGTTTAAAAGGCAAAAACTAAAAAAACTAAATTGCGGCGAATATGTCCCTGTAGACTGTAGGGGTTTCCGAATTCGTACGCGTTTTTTCTTCCGACCTACCCCTTTTATTTCAGTTCAATTAACTGTCACAAGTTATTGATGAGAACAACTGAGTTCTATAGTATATATAGTAATATTCAGTGTATCAGTTTATCACCCTTCGTACCTTTATACATTGTCTGACTGATGCATTAAGGTCTAGCGTCATATACGCCACAGATTGCCGCCTTTCATAGCGACACTGAGTTAAGATGTTAGCCTCGTGAGTTGATGCTGTAGTAAACGATAATTATTTCTGTCAAATTGATTTTACAACACACATTGTGATATACATGCAATAGACTAATACACTACCTCAATGTATACACGCACACGTCCTCGTATATTCTAACGCCATATTGTTTGTGTTTAAAATTCATTAAGATAATACTTACTCACTCCTACGACCTGACAAGATTCTTTATAATTCACAACTCATGATGGATGATGCACGTTCCTATTGAATCATGCTGGTACAATTTTGTCTAAAAAGAAATACATGGGGAGTGATATGCTTTGTCTAAAGATTTGTAATAAACGAATTTGATGCCCATTGTTAAATGATGGGCAATGCACGTGCATGATACACGTTGTCTAACGGTTGCTAATGCATGTGTACCATATAAATTGTCTTAAGTTGACGATGATTCCCTAATGAATATTAATGCACGTGTATGATATACGTTGTCTTATTGCTGATAATGATTGGGTAAATGCACATGTACACGTTGTCTAATGGTTAAACATGCACATGTACACGTTGTCTAGTTGTTGTTAATGCACATATACAAGTTGTCTAGTGATTGCTAATGCACATGTGCACGTTGTCTAATTAATGATAATGTACGTGTATGACACTTGTTTTATATTATCGATAATGCACATGTTCATGTTGTCTAACGGCTGATGATAGACGAGTACGATACACGTTTGCAAATTATTGATATTGCACGTGTATGTAACGTGTTTAGTAATTGTTGCTAATGCACGTGTTAGAAACATGTTTTTCTAATGCATACTTCCTGTTAATGGGTATTATTTTTATTTTGAACAGGACGATGGTAGATTCCTTTGTTTCCCGTCGCCTAATTCAGACAAGTACTGCATCTGTTTTGACATCGGAGATTCATCTTTTACGTACGTGCCAAGAAACGAATTTCCTGCGCAACTGGCATTCAAGGTACAGGATGGACACTTCGAGGATAATTTACCAGCTGATGATCATGCAATCAACTTGAGGATGGACCTTTCCCCACATGAACGAACTACCGGAATTGACGTAAAGGCGGTGAAATCTTTACTACTGGATTTAATGCGGCAGGTATCAACATACAAGAAACAGTCCAAGCGATCCCATGTGTTGGCAAAGCGTCCATTCGATTCAATATCCTATGGGAGTTATTTTGGTGGCTTTGGTAAAAAATAATGCGGACAGAACTCATACCATTGTGACAAAACCAGGTGGCAGTTTCTGGTTTCAGTATTAATCTCGCAGTCAAAGGGTTTGCGTTTGAAGCAAATATTTAAATACGACATAAACTTTCTAAAGAAATAATTACTAGCTACCGGATGACTGATGGTTTCAGAATACAAACTATTTTAGAAAAAAACTAAATATTTAGTATACATCAAAGAAAAGTGTATAAATGCACTTAAAAACAGAATATTTTTCAAACACATTATATATTCTTCACTGTTAATAAAACAATAAGTGATGTTGTCAAAACATGTATTTATTAAAATATAAAGAACCCTTTTCACAGTTTAACCACAGGTTTATTCTTACATGATAACATTGATGATTTACATTACAACTGCAACATTTTATAACAAACTCTGTCTGTGGGTTAAAAAAAAGTCGAAATGATAACAACAGAACTTTAATTAAAAAACACGGTCATTATTTAAAAAACAAACAAAAAGCAAAGAGATCATTATATATGACACGAAAAAAACAGGCGTTTCGTAAGACTAATCGCATCCTGCTTCATCAACGACGTCAGCAATTAAGATTCTAAAATTCAATATGTGAAACTATCTTGTGACAATGAAACAAGTAGTAACACTATATGAATGTAGTCAATTAGCATTATAAAGACATTGACATTCGCACAAGGAAATACAAACGTTTCCAATAAGATCAGAATGTCGACCTTACATCTTGCCCATGTTCTTCATCAGCCTCTTTCGAAACCACCGGCTGTAATTTTGTCAGTCATCGACAACATTTACGGAAATCAGTACAAAACAGCCAGCTATTGAGTACCAAATCAACTGCAACAGTTAAACACTTTGCAATGAAACACAGTGCATAACCGTAATACCATGCTATTTTAATTATCAATATAACATAATTAGGTGTTATGTTGAGGACAAAAAAGGCTACTAATTATTATAATTGAAATACAATACTACGTTTGCAACAAATGACAGCCAACTAGTCATGCATGAACTGGTGGCATGATCAGTCAGGTGGAACATAAGCTCAGACTGATCTATGTTTAGCCAGTACCAGACAGTTAACACGCAGACGTACCTTTGTCACAAGATTGTAATGACAATTGATAATCTAATGAAAGCGTCTAGTTTATAAATAATGTATAATGAATCTCCGCATCAACCCGAGGATAGATATATTCATGTTAATATCATGTCTGGCGATTATGAGATTTCTAAATTATTGATGGCTATTCATTGTATACAGATTGGCAAACTGAAAATGTCTAGGTATGCTTAATGTTAGTAGTATATGTTTTGGCTTCAAATCAAATTTCATAACTTTTTGATACAGAAAAGATAAAGAATATATAAGACATCACCATCAGACAACGACAAAGTCAAAATCAATGGTCGAGACGTTAAGACAAAGTAGAAGCTGCAGAGACAACAACAATAGAAATACCTGCATAATGCCCGGATATTGATTACGGACAAACTCCAAATTCTGAAACAAGTCATTATGAAACTGTATAATTTAAATGACCGAGGGTGAGAGTTTAATTTCAAAAATCACATTTTATAGAATACGTATTTAGGGTGTGCCATTACCACATAACGTCGATCATTGTTGCAAAAACAAAATAAACTTAAAAAGAGAAAGAAATGCGTAAGGTATGAGATGAAAGCACTATTAAAAATAAATTTAAAGCAGCAAACAACGCAAAATGAATAGTTTCTGTTTTATTTTTGTTGTTGTTATTATGGTTGTTGTTGTTGTTGTTGTTGTTGTTGTTGTTGTAATCTAACGGGTAGCAACGATGCATGTCATCTAGTCAGAATATGACATAGTTGACATTTATGCAAGACAACTGAACGCAGATTCACTACATTACCACAGAGGATACGTAAGAGCATGCAATTGACAACATCTGAAGTAGAACGTATCAGACTGCCAGGCAGCTGTTTCACATCCATGCCCTTTTAACAAGCTTCGGTGTATTCAACATTATCTCAGAAACTGACAAATAAAACAACATAACACAGGTTCGACCCAGTGTTGCTCTTAATGTTACGATTCCTGTGACAGATGTCGACGGACAAATGTAGAGCACAAGGTTCCGAGGGATGCAAGCTGACGATGTTCCACGTGACAAGTACCCATGGCGGTTGTGGTCAGATATATACATCACAAAATTGAAACAGACAGATGTCTGAATAACTATCACTGACGACAAAGCATCGATAACTCTGAACTTCAGGTCAATCCCATCATAAGCATAATGCTTGACGAAAACAGGTCTTGATAGGAAACGGCTCATTTAGAGCGGAAGAGACGAAAGAAATTTGGCAACTGATGCTGTCTATTCTATAGAGGTGTCACCTCTATAGTCAAGGGTTTTTTAATGTCGCCGCACAATCTGAAGCATTTTGTTCGATGATGTTAGGTAATGTTACACTGTTCAGAATACACAAAGTTTAGTGGTGAGTTTGTTCAAATTATCGAATGTGTTTAGCACTTTCCATGTGAATTATTTTGTGTCTGACCAACCTGAGTATGCTTTTCCATTAGTCGAGCGATACGATCTAGATACATGTAGGTCTATATATACTGTTAAACTCAGAGCTGATCATACTGTATTCAAGTACATGATGTAGTTTTCACGCACAAATATATGTACTTCATCCGGTTAGGGAGTATTTATTAGTACGTTGGAGGGAGAAATCCATTTGTCACATGTAATCTAGACACTAACAAATCAATAGAACTTATGAAGTAATTTATAATATCAATTGCGAAAGAAATTAAAAAAGAGAAAAAATAAGATTATTATATAAATTGGATACTACATTTTATACCATCAAAGTGATCCTTTATCTAAAACATACATGTACCATCTGTCAGACTATATTTGAAATTTATTCGATGAAACAAAATGTAAAAAATGATTTGTACAATAAGATTTATAGTGCACATTGAGGCAAGGTAAATAGTGATATTCCTTTATTTGAAAGTAGTTGCGGCCTTTCACACATATTGCACTAGAGAGAGAGAGAGAGGTCACATCACACTAGCCATACTGTTTGTATACACATTCACGTGTATGAAATAGACAAGATAAAATGAAAACACAATTACATAACGGAAGTAATTCAGGTTAAAGTAGCAAATTCCCGTGAACATAAGCTAGGAACTGTTATTTCTTAACCGGACGTAGTAAAATTGCAAGAGTCAAACAAACGTTCTTCTGTGCTATTTTTTCACCCTGAACTTAATATGTGTTTTAGTGATCTCGCTGTCTTTGTTAACTGTTTTAATTCCTCGTCTCATGATATTACAGGTTTAAATGGAGCTAATTGCTTGAGTTATGACTGTTCTAGTTAATTGGACGTAACAACTAGGACACTATAATGACACTCAGAAACAAAGCCGGGTTTCACTGACATGAAGACAACACTTTTTTATGTAATGACATGGAGCAGGCGACATACACTACTGTACATTGTGCTAATAATGCTCTAGAATGGAAACTTAAAACAAGACAATTATTGCCGTGATGACATGGAGAGTTACATATAATCACATGTAAACGTTGTATGAAGTCGAAAACAACACCATCAGCTCTGTAACCTTTACGAAATATTCAATCCAAAATAAAACTTTTTTGTTGATGAGGTACGCCAAGCAAAGTAAATATCATCTGCACCATATAGCCATCTTGTCCAAGTAGGACCCATCGATGGTACTTAAGTTAAAAGAAAACGATGATGGTTAGATATACACATGCATCTCTTTCATTTGAAAGTTATTGTGTAAATCTATCAAATTTAATGTTTTAGGTTTTTCTAATTTCAGAATTAACAGCAGAGACATAAAATCAAAGATAGCCAGTCAAACTACATGAACACATTGATTCATTAACGAAACAAAGTATTACTGTATTGCCATCAGAGTATCAACGCCTGTAAATAAGAGATAACTTCAACTGAGGCAAGTGCTAAAATGTTTTATACATATTGTAATAATGTTATTATGATGTTAGGAAATGAATAGTATTTTTTTTAAAATCATATTGTAACGACATTCTTTAAATTGTATTTTTCTTCATAATCTAAAACATTTATTTGACTAACTAGATAACCAGGCGTTAAATATTTTAATGGGAATAACGTCACCTCTTGAACTCAAAACCTGATCTTTCATATTGGAGGGTTGATCTAATGTTTTGCTTGAAAGTTTTTTTAGCTTGAATATTTCATTTTAAAATTCAAATTAAAAGCTACTAGAGAAAAACTACAAAGCCGATATTACTTGCCCATCGACTGGTTTTTGATTACTTTCACCTAACACTATCCCGTTTAAACTTGTTATCACAGATGATCAGTAAATATCAGATAGCAATCATTCAACATAAAATCCAATGGGTTGCACATAAATAATGCAATCTAAATAATGTACCGCAAATAGCAATGTATTGTTAATGATAATCTCGTCCGTACAAACCAACGAGCGCTAATTATCAAATAGGTGCATGTTCTGCTTCACCAGTAAATGAGGATTCCTTTTTTTTTAATGAAATGTTCTTAAATTGTTGTGATAACACACAGCGCACAGTGTATCTGTATACAACCATCACAGTTAAATTGACTTGAGATTTGACCCTGGGGACGATCACATTTCGTTTTGGACCAAATACCAATTTAATAGATAGATTCCAATGCTTTGCCATAGTTTGAAATGCACACGTGGACAATATATCTTATTTCTAACTTAAGTTTTACAACGACAATGTGAGTATTAATGCAAGCCGTCCTGTGCCATATTAATGTTAATAGCATCATTGACAATAAATCCGTAACGTGGAAGAGGTTAAGATAACACAAAACGTGAACAGATCATCCTTGTATATTTGATAAGCGATGTTTGAAATTACATTGGCTAAGAATTATGATACTCACAACACATTGTAAGTATACTTATGTGTCCAATGGGCATATGTTTTTTTCTTTCATATCGGCTTTATATTTCCTAACTCTCACTTCCTTTCTCAACCTGCTTGGATTGGTTAACGTTTTGAGTTACCCACTAGAGGGTTAAACCTTACACAAGACTAGTTATCTTTCTACTTAAGACGTCACATAATAATGCTTTGTGTTGGCGCCTACAACTGTGACGGCATGGTTCACGTTCATGGAGAAACCTGTGGTTTTCTGAATATCAAATTAACTTCATGTGAGAAAAAAGGCCTAAAATCTAGTAACTGCTGGTTATCATGTTTATTTAATTCCCATATTTTAACTAAACTTTAATTTGTACATGTAGTATATTGATGAACCTCATGTCTTAAAATACTTAAAATTGCTAACTTAATTTGTTAAACTTGAATACCAACCGTTATTAATCAGGGAACCTCTATTCATCACCATTGCCATTATCTGTGAAGTCATTTATAAAACTTGCGTACTTTTATACAGGTACGTATACATGTTATTTTTTGTTGACCTATTACAGTAAAATATAGCTCTTTTTCAGATAGTTTCGTAACTTTTATAGCTAAATTTTATCTCTTTTGAGTATTTGTTTAGTTAATAATATACTCATTATTTATTTGAAATTAACCAGTAGATGTCTAATTTTAAAATTCATAAAGTAAAAGTTTTTTACGACACTTTGCAGTGCTTTAGACCAATTGGAATTTGAGACTTTCTATCTTTAGCATCACTGATTAGTCCTAGAAAGACAAACAGCTGTATGATGCTGTGTATTTTTTTTTTCATATTGTACATATTGCGAAAATGTTTAAAGGTACGTTCATCCGTGCGTGTATGTGTGTGTGAGTGTGTGTGTGTATGTGTGTGTGTATGTGTGTATGTGTGTGTGTATGTGTATGTGTATGTGTGTGTGTGTATGTGTGTGTATGTGTGCTCCGTTCATCTTTTGAAGTACAAACTGGTAGACTGCTGGTGGATTTTCCAAGGCCCCGAGGTTTGTTGTAACCTTGGTGGCTACAGTTATTTCTTTTGAGTAGTGGCATGGTTCATTTTATACACACTTTACTAAATTATAATTTGATATTGTTCAGGACGATTCATGAGTTCTGCAATCCATAAAGTACGTACTCTCTCTTCTATTTCAAAAGTAGTTCAGACCAATTTGCAGTTCTGATATTTTTTCCCCTAGCATCACCGATCAGTCCTAGAGAAACGAAAGCCTGGCATACTCTACCTATTACCAATATTTTCAAGAGTGCAATCACATGGGTATGTTACGTCCATCATTTTATAGGGATACAAGAGTAACATTTTGGTATCTTAAATAAATCCAGATACCGTTCTCCCTACAAATATAACCTAAAAAAGTAAAAGATCCAGAACACAGATGTCATCCCATATACAGTGCAAATATCATCATTGAAACTAGGTTTCGTAAGATATTAAGATTTTGCATACTTAATTTGACACAACAACGCTATCAGAAAATTAATAGTTCAGCATATTTTATGTTTATCAAATATCAGAGGATTTGGCATATGCTATTGTTTAGGCTTTAAAAAGTATTATTTTCCGTGTTATGGCCCTATAACACGGAACAGGATTGCAAACAAAATGAATAACGCGCGTAAGCAAAATATCCAATTCATATTTTAAAATAGTCTTCTATAAAACGATGAATGATATTGAACCATATGGGTTTTTTTTGCTTGCTTTTCTGCATTTTT